TCAGCAGGACTATGGCCCTGTGGGATCTCCCAGTTTCGAAGCCGCACGAGAGAACTTCATCATAAGCAGTGCTGGTTATGCAGTTGCGAGCCTCTTACTTCAACCCAAGGACAGGCACAATGGCAATCTTTTATTTGACAAGTACGATCTACTTTATATCCATAACCTTAGAAGTAATTTTGTAACTGTGACGAAAGGAAAATTATTGGCCAGACATGAAATATAAATTTCAAGCGATCCTTTGGTCACTTGATATCATGCTATGCAAATTCAGAAAGTTAATAATATTTTTTGCTTAATTTCTAGAAATAACCATACTTTACTGACGCTGTTAGTGCTTTTTGCTGCAGCGTGGGTAAACTTGTTCATATTGATTTTGGTTTTATTTTGGAAACTTCACCTGGTGGGAATCTGCGGTTTGAAAGTGCACATTTTAAGCTGAGCCATGAAATGACTCAACTACTAGACCCATCGGGTGTTATGAAGAGTGAGACCTGGCACCAATTTGTGAGGTAGTTAAGAATTTGTTTTTTTGCTTGTTTATCTTGAAACTGCTTTCAGTCCGTGAATTAACGCATCTTTTTATTCAAATATTTCATTTCTGAATTTTCTTTTTTGCTATCATACTTCCCACAGCTTGTGTGTGAAGGGATACCTTGCCGCCCGCCGTTATATGGATGGGATTCTGAGCACGGTTCAGTTAATGCTAGACAGTGGATTGCCTTGCTTCAGCAGGGGCGATCCGATTGGGAATCTTCGCAAGAGATTTCATCCCGAAATGAACGATCGCGAGGCAGCCAATTTCATGATCCACGTCTGCACTGATGCTTATAACAAGTGGACCACTGCTGGGTACGACTTGATACAGTATCTGCAGCAGGGCATTGAGAAGTAGAAGAAATGTTCAGAGGTCGACTGCATTTGTAAATGATCATTATTTGTAAGTGCTATAATTATACGACGTTTTCTAATATATACAGCTGCAATTTTTCTGGGGGTTTCCGTGGTAGTGGTAGGTGAGGATTGTAAAAACGGCATAGAATTCAATTTGAGAGCCTTGTATTCTAGAGGCGGGATTCCTCGTGAGGTTTGTAAAATTACAGGTTGTAGTTATTAATTATTTAAAGGTTTTCGTGAGTTAATTGTATTGATGCAAGGCAGTTCTACACGAAAATTACATCCATAGCACAGTCTCTCCCTCTCTCTCTTTTGAAACGTTTAGTAAGACCCGCGTTTACAAATTGTACTCGGATATGGCTCCTGAAGTTTTCTTTTTAAGCAATACAAATGCTAGGCTATTTTCCCCTTTTTTCGATGACACGTGGATAATTAAGAGTACATTTTTGGCTATGAACTAACAATATACTTTTTGTATGCGATAGCCTCTCAGTTGAAAGAAGCCAACAGCCATATATGGCAAACATTGTAAGTCTTAATATTATCTGGAAATCCTTTTTAACACAAATTGTTCTTGTTGTAACTTGTAACCTCGGTTATATTTGTTCGTTATTCTGTGGCAGAATAAGGCAAAACAACACAAGGAAAGATAGTAGGGAAAAAAGTATCAAACTTGAAAAATGAACTACCAATAATTTGTTACTGTCGTTAAATTTATATAAAAAATTATTTCTTTCACATACTTTTGTAATATAATATAATTTTAATCAAACCAGAGACTGACCTTATTAATATCAGAGAAAGTTTCGGAAAAAACAAAAAAATTAATATAGTATTATGAATTGAAGCAAAAAGAAATAAGTAGACCTTCATCTATATGTGCCCATTGGCAAGAAAGCTCTTCATTCTAGATCTTCACAGTTTCCAAAGAGCCAAACGACTATTAAACTTCTACATGTAGCCGTAAAAAAAAAAAATATATATATATATAGGCCTTAAACATAATTTGCAATGATATATTACACATATAGATACATCTCCGATCTTATCATGATAACAAGTTAACATGAACAATCGCATGCTTTATCCCAAGACAAAAACAAAAAAAAACATAAATTGAACAACTCTAATTATAGTAATACATTAATCAACATCGACGTTGGTTTTCTTTGACTAAACTCCAATCCATTATTTAATCAGCTCACCGGAACCGAAAACTAGCCAGAACTAAGTATATTTCATGATAATATATATGTGTGTGTGTGTATATATATATATATATATATATATCTTATTAAGGCTCGGTACCAATATCCTTGCCAATTTCCATTGGCTTCTTCTTCAAATCACTAGAAGAAGACGAAGACGACCTCCAAATGAAAAAGTCTCCAAAAAGACTCCATTTCCTCTAGGGTTTTGCCCTTGGTCTCAGGCAACATAGAGTAAAAGAAAAACCAAGCCACTATCGACAAACCGGCGTACATAAAGAAAGTTCCACCGATGGTTATCTTCTTTGAAAGTGATCACGTGAAAGTCAACACAATTATCCCGCTGCTCAGCCGGTTGACCGCCACGGCGATGCTGGCTCCGACGCCTCTCAGCCTCAGACGGAAAATCTCCGACGTGTAGACCCACGTGATGGGGCCTAGACCGATCGAGAAGAAGGCGGTGTTGGAGAGTATGGTCGTCACGCAGAGCCCGATGGCCCATGTCAGCTTCTGGTGGGACCACCGGTCGATGACGGTGAGCCCGGCGGCGAGGCCGAGGAGGGAGAGGATCATGCCGACGGTGCTGCAGAGGAGGAGGGGGCGGCGGCCGGATTGGTCGAGGAGGAAGGTGGCCACCAGGACGAAGACCAGCTTCACGGCGCCGAGACAGATCATCGCGAGGAGCTTCTGGTCGGCGTCGATTCCAGCCTTTTCGAGGATTGTGGGGCCGTAGAGGAGGGTGACGTCAAGGCCGGACGCCTGCCGGAAGAAGTTGATGCCGACGCCGGCGATGAGGATGTGGCAGCTTCGATGATGTCGGCGAGGCGGAGAAAGAGTTCCAGGGGCTTGGGGCGGTTTTCGTGGCTGTTGTGGTGGTGGTTTTGGCGGCGGCTTCGATGATGTCGGCGAGGCGGAGCTGAGCTTCGGCTTTGGAGTCGGAGGTTCTGTCGAAGACTTGCCTAGCCTCAGAGAAACGGCCCTGCATGACGAGCCATCGCGGGGATTCTGGCATGGCGAGGATGCCGGCGATGAGGCAAACGGAGGGAAATCCGCCGGCGCAGAGCATTAGTCTCCAGGCTAAGTAGAGTGGGAGTTTGGAGAATACGTAGGCTAGGATGTAGCCCCCTAATAGGCCTAGGTTCATGAACACCTGCATGCATGGAGGATGTATATATATTATATAGTTAGCTCAAAATCAATGATGATTAACATGAACTTATGATATCTAATGATGCTAAGCACACCAACAAGACGTTATATATTACTCAAAATCATTAATTAAAATGTTCTCAAGCTTTCATCAGACGCTAAAGTATACTATGATCTCTGAATTGATTAATACTTTTTTTTAATTAAAATAAAATGTCGGAGTAAGAGACTACTCAAAACTAGCTTTTTTTTTTTTTTGGACGTGATTACAGGAGCCTCACACGCTTGGAAAGTTTGCATTCTGCGATATCTATTAAGATTAGGAGAGGAATCAGTCACCTCAGTCGCACCAAATATTAATAAACATTAAGTCGGAAGCATGAAAATAGTACTCACATTGCGATAAGAGATCACAGGATATGTATTTTAAATTTTTTTTTTTTTAATAAAACATTCATAAGAAGAACACACAAAACTCACGGACAGAAGGAAATATTAATTACCTCCGGGAATGTGGGAAGAAACCCACGAAAGGATGCCGGAGCAACTTCGGCCGCGTAGACAGGGGCAATCATGAAGGCGAAGCCGACACCGGTGCTGCAAGCCAAGTTGCCAACGGAGAGGAAACCGTAGCCTTTGGAGCAGGCCATCAGGACTGCTCCGGCAAGGAAGAGGACGCCGGCCAATGCTATGGTGTATCGACGGCCGATCCAGTCGCAGATTCTTCCTCCGGCTAACGACCCGAATAGCGAGCAGAAGTTAAACACTCCAAGCACTATATCTACCTTTAGTTCTGAAATATTTAGGTCCTTTTTTAGGTATATTACTGCTCCACTCATAGCACCAAAATCTGTAAATTAAATACAAGCACTACATAAAAATTGATATGATTGATTTATGTCAATTTTGATGTCAATTGGTGTATATTACTGCTTCAGGTCGTGTAAAAAATTTGAGCTGTTTCTCAACTACTCTTTAACGCTTATTATGAGATGATATAATATTGTAAGACCAAAAATAGAACCGAGACAAATGTATTTTATTTTCATTCAATAAAACAATATATGTACATGTATACTGTCATAAAATATATTTATGTGAAATGAATCGTCCTCTTGAAAAAAAAGTAAAATCATTAAAAAAAAAAAAAGGAAGGAAACAAACAAAGTTCTGTGATTTTTTTTTCCCCCTTAAAGACACGTAGTGGCCGTTAAAGATTGACAAAGAGTTTTAACATTTTGAAGAAAAACTAAAAATAAAAAGGTTTACATTTTTTTTTAATAAGTGATAAATAGTCTACTTATTTTATTTATTTTTTGAATATGTAAGGGTAGGAATTCAAACCAGCCTTGTTACACGGCTCCGTGAAGCCGCAACTTCACAACACACAAGAGTGGGCCTCACATGGACCCCACAAGGTGATGGGGCTTACCTCTTTGTGTCTACTAAGTTGCGGGTTCTGGCGGAGCCATTTATCATTTTTAAATTCAAGTACTACACAATGTGGTAGAATCAAGTGTAATATTATGAATACACATGTGCCTGTGACCGACCATTCAAGCCTACTTATTCAATTTATCACTAAATTAAACAAAATAACTTCAGTGTAGAAGTTTAGTACGAGCTCAATTTTACTGCAAGTTAGTTAATTTGGTGGCTCTCTTAACTCTCAAGGGTTTAATAATAATAATAATAATAAAACTTTTTTTATGTACTTTTGTCTTTCTGAAAATCTCAAAGAGTTTCATACAAAAAAGAAAAAAAAATTCAAAAATGTTCTCAAAAAATTTTAGCACTAGGGCCAAACAATACATCTCGTACGTACCTATGGCCGCATAATATCGTATTCTATATTAGTAACACTTTCATTTGTAGTTATCTCCTTACTCCTCCTGTTAGATGTTGGACGTGTATATATTATATACATATATAATAATAATTGTATATTATATGCTATTAATGTTAAGCCCATGTGATCAAATAAAATTTTAGATAATTTGAGCTTTAATGCATTTAATAAGTGTGAGCCTAATATGTGTAGAGACCAAATTGTTATTTTTTATTTTATGATGTGTCAAATTAAAAATAATGAAAAGTTGACTTCTATATAAATAGTCGTAGTCCCCAAATTATCCCATTATTAGAAAAGTGAGAATTCCTTCTCAAGGCATTCATACTGAATAATTTGAAGATTAAGAACCAAAAGATTGATCAAGAACCACAAGATTCAAGAAATAATCCGTTCATATGGACTCAGGTACGCTTCCGTTTAAGTCTATTCTTCTTGATGATTTGATATGATAAATCTTAGTGTGACTAAAGATTTAATCAATAAAGAATTTATTTTCATCAAGTGGTATTAGAGTAACCAGAGAAATTCTTTTCTAATTTTTCAGTTGATGCTTTCAGACATTCTTTTTGATATTTGCTCTGCCTCCATATTATATATACATATATAAGTAAGGATACTAGAATTTTGTTGTCGTTTTCCTATGGACTCAGTTTATATGTGTATATATATAGGATGCAGAACATAATATAAGTTTCAAACAAAGGATTCAAGAAAACTGGCCAAACTCTGGCGATATGCTATCCGGACACGGCGTTTGCCGCCGCCGGCATTGTAGAACGTCCGGCCGCGCCGGTGATGAAGAGCCACGGCCTACAGCCGTGACGGTTGGGACTGGCGGCCTGAATGGCCGCCATTACTCTCGAGGGGTCGCGACTGTTGCGACCCCTCAGTATGCAGCCTCTGGGCTGAAGCCCAGAGTTGCTGGAGAAAGAAATGGATCCAACTGGGCCCATAACAAAAAAAAAAAAGAAAGGGCTGCGGGCTTGGCCCTCAGAAACCCAAAAAAAAAAAAGGAACAGGGGATATGCAGGCCGGATTCAGGATTCGGGTTGGGTTGACCCGACTTGTCCAACCATGACCAAAGTTTCCGTTGAACGTTGACTTTGACTACCGTTGACTTTGACTTGATTTCTTTGTTTGGGAAATTTAAATTCAAATTTTGATACAACTTTTCTTTTATGGATGTCTTATGTTTTAATATGAATTGAATGAAACAACATGCTACCAAAGTAGCATATCTTGTGTAAATTAATTTATTTTATAACATCAAGATGGTTGTGGGCATGTAATTCATGCGGATATTGACCGGCCCAAAGGAAGGTCATTATTTGGCCGAATTACATGCACACTTGTGGTAATAAATATGTGACAATTATTAGGTATTCTATGTGAACAATAAGTCGATCCAAAGAAAGGCTTGTTGTTTGACATGATTTTATTATCAGTATTTGATTACTACACCAAGAGTACCACTTACAAGTTAATATTACTGTCCAAAGACTAAATGTTAATATTGTGCTAGGTATCTTGTGATGGGTCTTACCATTATTTGAATTCTTAAAAGTTTGATATGGTATTTATGTGAACGTTTTGTTTTGTTCTATTTTCAGTTAATACATCTGCTTCTGCTATATCTGCCAACATCAATTCTATTCCCATGTTAAATGAAACAAACTTTAAGGTATGGAAAGGGAACGTTATGATCGTTCTTAGCTGCATGGATCTAGACCTTGCGCTAAGGATTGAACAACCCACTACTCTTACGGATGAAAGTTCCAATGAGGAAAAACAGGACTTTGAGAAGTGGGATTGTTCAAATCGCATGAGTCTTATGATCATGAAGCGTGGAATTCCAGAAACTTTTAGGGGCGCTGTGTCCGAAAAGGTAACTACTGCCAAAGAGTTCCTTGAGGAAATTGAAAAGCGTTTTGCTAAAAATGATAAGGCTGAAACAAGTACGATTTTGTCGAACTTGATTTCAATGAAGCATAAAGGAAAAGGAAATATAAGGGAGTACATCATGGAAATGTCTCATCTTCCTTCGAAACTAAAGGCACTAAAGTTAGAGCTATCTGAGGATTTGCTCGTGCATTTAGTTTTGATTTCTCTTCCTGCACAATTCAGTCAGTTTAAGGTCAGATACAACTGCCAAAAGGACAAATGGACTCTGAATGAGCTCATTTTTCATTGTGTGCAAGAAGAAGAAAGACTGCAACAAGAAAAGATAGAAAGTGCTCACTTGGCTAGTACCTCTAAGGACAAGAACAAGAAAAGGAAGAAGGACAAAGAAGCTGCGGGAGGTCCAGCCCAAAAGATACAGTAAAAGAAACAAGATGAGGAATTTTGCTGTTACTTTTGCAAGAAACCTAGACACATGAAGAAGGATTGTACCAAATATCACGCTTGGCGTGTAAAGAAAGGTACGCTTCTCACTTTGGCTTGTTCTGAGGTTAATTTAGCTTCAGTGCCAAGACACACTTGGTGGATAGATTTTGGTGCTACTACTCACATAAGTGTGTCAATGCAGGGTTGTCTGAGCTGCCGAAAGCCAAATGATGCTAAAAGATTCATCTATGTGGGCAATGGAAAATCAGTGGAAGTTGAGGCTATAGGGACATTTAGGTTTTATTAAAGACTGGATATTATTTGGATTTAAAAGAGACATATGGTGTACCGTCTTTTAGACATAATTTGATTTCTATTTCTGTTTTGGACAAATTTGGTTACTCTTGTTCATTTAGAAATAATCAGTTTAGTCTTTCTTTGAATTCAATTATTGTTGGTATCGGCTCTTTATCTTTTTATGATAACTTTTATTTACTTGATACTACTGCCTCTTATAATGAAACCTTGCATGTGAGTTCACCTGGTACAAAACACAAATTAACAAATGAGAATTCTGCTTCACTCTGGCACAAACGTTTAGGTCACATATCTAAACAAAGAATTGAAAGACTTGTATCAGATGGAATTCTTGATCCTCTTGATTTGTCAGACTTTCAAGTCCGTGTTGATGCATTAAGGGGAAACATACAAACATAAGGAGATTATGTGCCAATAGATCTTCAGATGTCTTATAACTGATACATATATATATATTTGTGGGTCATTCTCTACGGCTTCATGGAATGCTCAACAATATTTTATTACGTTCATAGACGATTACTCACATCATGGCTACCATTATCTCATTCATGGAAAGTCTCAATCACTGGACGTGTTTAAGGTTTTCAAAGTTAAAGTTGAGAATTAGCTTGGCAAAAGGATTGAAGCTGTCAGATCTGACCGTGGTAGTGAATACAATGGTAGATATGATGGATCAGGTGAACAACGTACAGGGCCATTTACCAAATTCCTAGAGGAGTTGGGTATCACCCCACAGTTGACCATGCCAGGAAGTCCTACTATGAATGGTGTTGCTGAGAGACGAAATAGAACATTAAAGGATATGGTGAGGAGTATGGTTAGTCATACTACCTTACTAGATTCATTCTAGGGTGAGGCACTAAAGACTGCAGCTTACATTCTTAACAGAATTCAAACTAAGGCAGCGGCTAAAACTCCTTATGAATTATGGACGGGCAAGAAGCCCAGTATAAAGCATTTACACATTTGGGGTTGTCCAGTTGAAGCAAGGCCTTATAGGCCTAATGAAAAGAAACAGGACTTAAGAACAATCATCAGTTATTTTGTTGGGTACTCTGAACGATCTTGGGGGAATAAGTTTTATGATCCCACATCTAGATCCTTCTTTGAGACAAGAAATGCTCGGTTCTTTGAGGATATTGTATTTGGGGGGAAAGATAAGGTTAGAGATTTTGTCTTTGAAGAGGAATATGTTTCTCTTCCTACGATTGCTATTCACAATAGTCAGGCTCCTATTCCTGATGTTGTTCAAGAAGCAATACCAGAACCACAAGACAATGTCGAAAATCTCCCCGATCAAGGCCAACAGGTTATTCCTGAAGAACAAACTCAACAACGTCA